TGACTTAGCCCTTGTGTTATGTTCGGGGATTTCAACGAAATAACGGGGATGTCAGAAAAAGATGGTGGAGCAAAATGGATTCTTTGAGACATGGGTTTTTGAGGTAGTGTGTTCACCTGGTAGTGGGGTACTTCTCCAACAACTGTCATTCGTGAAAGACTTGATCCATTTATGGCATATGACAATTGGTGTAAGCTATTCCCGAGTTTCAGAGTTCGATATTTTCCTATATACGGGTCGGATCATGCCCCAATATTGCTGGAGGGTTATGTCTCATTCGAAAATTTGAGCTGGAAAAAAATCTTCAAGTTTGAAGCAGTTTGGCTATCTCGTGAAGATTGCGAGGGGGTTATCAGGGAGGCGTGGTCTGGAAATTGTGCTGCTGAACCACATGCCAGGCTTGCAGATTGTGCTGCGAAGCTAACAAGGTGGTCCGCAGAGACTTTTGGCAGTATCAAGAAGAAAATTGCAAAGGTCGAAAATAAGTTGAGGGATGCACAGGATGAAAGAGTGAGTACTCAGATGTTAGACCGTTGCAAAAAACTATCGTCGAAGCTTGATGAGTTGCACCGTTTAGAAGAGTCATACTGGTATGCTAGGGCTAGAGCAAATGAAATGAAAGATGGGGACAAAAATACAACATATTTTCACCATAAAGCTAGCCGGAGGAGGAGAAGGAAAAATAATATTCAGGGCTTATATGACAAGCACGATGTATGGCACGATGATCAGAAAGAAATGCAAAAAATTGTGTCGGACTACTTTGCAGAGCTGTTTAAATCAGATAATCCAGCTGAATTCGAAGAGGCGTGGAGGGGCATTCGGTTAGTGGTCACAGAGAGAATGAACAAGGTGCTTGATGAGGAGCCTTCCGATGCGGAGATTAAGGATGCATTATTTCAGATACACCCAAGCAAGGCGCCGGGACCGGACGGTATGCATGCTCTATTTTTTTCAAAAATTTTGACATATTGTTGGCAGTGATATATTTCTCTTTGTGAAAAATTGGTGGAGGGGCTTGGTGGATTTGTCGAAGGCAAATAAAACATGTATTATTCTAATTCCGAAATGTGAAAATCCGACAAAAATGACAAAATTCAAGCCTATTAGCTATTGTAATGTCTTGTATAAGATAATATCCAAAACAATGGTTAATAAATTAAAGTCATTCTTAAACGATGTTATCTTTGTCAACTAAAGTGCTTTTATCTCCGGCAGACTCATCAGATAATGCTTTGATCGCATTTGAAGTTTTCCATTCGATGAAAAGGAAGAGAGGTGGGAGAGAGGGCTCGGTGGCTCTCAAACTAGACATGATGAAGGCATATGATAGAGTTGAGTGGAGCTTTCTGGAGAAAGTCATGTACAAAATGGGATTTAGTGTGCATTGGGTTCGTAGAGTCATGGATTGTATGGCTAGTGTCTCTTTTGCTTTTAAAGTAAATGGTGATATCTCTGGTTTAGTTATTCCGTCAAGAGGGTTGAGGCAAGGAAATCCAATCTCTCCATACTTATTTCTACTGTGTGCTGATGCTCTTTCTACTCTGTTGTTTACTAAATGAGGTGCATGGGGCTAAGGTCTGTAATGGTGCTCCAAGGATATCACATTTATTTTTTGCTGACGATAGTATACTCTTTGCTGAAGCAAACACGAGGGAATGCTCAAAAGTTGTTTATATAATCAGGAAATATGAACGAGCATCTAGTCAGAAAATTAATTTAAGTAAGATAGAAGTTACCTTTAGCAATGGGATTGTGGATACTTTGGGGGTGAGAGAGGTTAACAGGCACGATAAGTATTTGGGGCTTCCGACGATGATTGGGAAGTCGAAAAAGCTATCTTTGCGTGCTTAAAAGAGAGAATTTGGAAAAAATTGAGTGGGTGGAAGGAGAGGCTACTATCTAAATCGGGGAAGGAAGTACTCATTAAAGCGGTGGCACAAGCTATACGTACGTACATGATGAGTATCTTCAAAATTCCGGAGGATCTCATTGATGAAATTCATGTGCTTTTGTGCCGGTTTTGGAGTGATGATAACCAAAAAGCTACATTGACAAAGTTGGGAAAAATTATGTTCACCGAAAGCGATGGGAGGTTTAGGCTTTCGTGATTTAAAGTGTTTCAACCAAGCTCTTTTGGCTAAAAAAGTGTGGCGGTTGTTGAACGGTGGTGACTCTATTATCCATAAAATTTATACTGTGAGAACCGGGTATTGGCTAAAAAATGGAGTTTATACTATGAGAACCGGGTATTGGCTGGCAACAATGGGGAACACCCAAAATCAAGCATTGCAGAATGGATCTAATGAGGAGCGGATTTGGCAATCTAGATGGGGATTAAATGCACCTCCGAAACTGCAGCACTTTCTCTAGAACGCGTGCAAGGGCCAGCTTGCTGTCAAAGAATGTTTACAGTATCGCCACATTATTGGTGATGCACAATGTCCGGTGTGTGGGGCTGCTAGTGAATCAATTATACACACTCTCTTTGACTGTAAGGCTGCCCAAGATATATGGGGTCGTTGTGATTTAATTAGCAGCGAGTGGGCTAGCTGTTCCCTCTTCATCTATGCAGGAGCGCTGGTTATGGGCTAGCTAAGAAGGTGTCTGCTGAGAAGCTACGCACCATTGCGAGTTTGATGTGGCAGCATGGAGATGCCGAAATTTGTTCGTGTTTGAGCAACAGCAACCTGATGCAATCAGATTGGCTGCAGGTTTCTGAAAGCTGGTGGAGGAGTATTGTTCGTATGCTGAGAAAGTTTTCAAACCAGTAAGGGGTGCTGCTTCTGCAGGGCCTAGTTCCTGGTCACGCCCTCCCATTGGTTGTGTGAAAATTAACGTTGACACTCATGTGCTTCAGAGTGGTGTGGGGGGTCTTGGTGCGGTTATTAGAAACCATAGAGGGGAAACTTTGGTGGCTACTACAAGGAAATGCGAGGCTACTGATGTTGAGTTGGCTGAGGCTTTGGCAGTTCAGTTTGGTATGCGCATTGCAAGAAGACTTGGGTATTCGAACATTTGGGTGGAAAGTGACTCCATGAATGTTGTTAAAGCAATTTCTAGCTTGGGCAGAGGCGCAACTCCTATTTACCTTCTCTTTGATGATATAATTTTAGATAGCTTGTGTTTTGATTTTTTTTCAAAATTTCTCATGTTAGTAGGGCATGTAATACCGATAGTAGTTATGAACTTGTGTGAATTGGTTCTTATCCGCAAAGTTTCTCTGACTTGACGGAGATTGATTTGATATAATAATAATAATATGCCCTCTGTTTGAGGAGGTGGTTTTATGGTTGTTTGGGGTGTGTGTGGGTGGTTTCAGGGTGTGAGGTGGGTGGTTTCGGGGTGGCTGTTGTTTAGCGGTGTTGGTGGGGGCAGGTATTGTCGATGGTGGGTGTTTAGTATTTATTTACCTTCACTTTCTCTCTCCTACACTTAATTTACTATTCTTTAATTCATTAATCAACCATTACAAAATTTTGTATTAAAATCCGTGTCGAGCTCAAAGTTGCAATTAACTTGAAACGAAGGTAGTTCAAATTAATATTATTGATGGTCATACACTCATACACTTACGCTTTTATAAAACTTTTGGACAAACTTTAAATTTAAGTCAACGATTGTATAAATACATGGCAAAAGCTAATGAATGCCTCGGGAGCGTTTGATAAGATAACTAAAAGTAGAAATATTGAATTAAAATGAACGTTAATTACACCGATTGACACGTGATTTTGACATGCATTCCTAAATTAATACTAATTTAAGAAATATTTTGAATGTTTATCTAATGCCCCAAGGACGTTCGTTAGCAAGATCCTAAATATATACACTAAAAGATACTTGTAATAATTTAAAGTATAACTAATTACACTTACTTTAATACCTTGTTACCAGTTAATATACATACGAGTACACGAATTGAGGCATACTTCTTATTAATCAATGATAATTAAAATAAATCAGGAAGTCTTTTTTGAAGGAAATAAACATAAAATTTTATTGTCTTTATTTATTTGTTCTTATTTTGTTTTTTTGTTGACAAGCATAAAAAGTATATTGATGAAGATACTAAGCTTAGAACTAATGATGCAAAACAATACTCCATTTCGTAATAATTGTAATAGTAGGGAGAACACAAAGCTATAGAAAAATTAGAGGGTGAGACCAAAAAATGAATTATATAATATAAAATATAGTTAGTGAATATATATTTAATTGTTAATAACAGAGAGAAACAATAATTAAAAAAAAAGTAGTATAAGTGGGGTTGGTAGGCAAGAGAAATAATATAATAATGGTGGGTCCTTATCAAATAAAGAAGTGTTGCAATTCGTATGAAACCTATGAAAAAGAAAGTGTTGCGATTATTACGAAACGGATGGAGTATTTGTTAGACAATCATAGAATATTAGCAATACATATGAAGTAGGAGTACTCTCCCCGTTTTGTAATAATTGCAACACTTTCTTTTTTCATCCATTTCATAATAATTGCAACACTTTCTCATTTGGTAAGGACTTACTCATATTTTACTATTTCTTTCTTTTACCAACCCCACTTACTTTTTTTTTTTTTTTACAAAACCTTTTTTTAAAAATTATTTCTCTCTCCTATTTACAAATAAATATATCCCAACTATCCATATTTTATATTATAAAATTCCCTTTTTGGACACTATTTATGATTTTTCAAAAACCTTGTGCCTACCCTAATATTACGAAATGAAGGGAGTAATATTTTAATTAATAATGTTTGAAGGATTTAAGAGTAAAGTTGTGAATTCGTGATTCCAACAACCTATATTAGTATGGGACAAATTTAAAAAGATAGATGTAAAAAAGATAATACACAAACATTTAAGAACCGATGGATGGAATATAGGATAAGAAGACAAAGAGTGGGAGGTGGGGAAAGCCGAAAGAGAGTGACTTATGGAAATGTGAAGCGTCCTTTTCCATTACAAACAATAATTAGTTTCAAATTTGAAGTAGTACGGAGTATAAGTTTCATTAATGCTTCATTGCTTTGTTTGGTACTCCATATTCAATTACTAAACAATGTACAGATTGTACGGAGTATCCCCTATTTTGGTTTGAGATGTTCTGCTCTTGGACAACGTAGTGCTTCAATTATATTTCTCAATGGGATAAATGTGCCACTTTAAACAAAAAAAACCTAAATTAATTACATTTACATTGATAAAAGTCTTCTTAGACATTAGTAAAGATGGTATTGGGTCGTGTCAGGTCTCATGCCCAAAATTTGGATTGAAGAATTTATGAATAATCTAAGCCTCAATCCCTACTTATGAGCAGTATAATGTTACATGGACAATACATCGATCTTGTTCGTGCGAGCTCTACACATTGCTTCGAGTGGTTTAGCCTTAGGCATTGTAAGTCCAACACCTTCAGTTAAGTCCACATTCTCCTCATCAACCCTCTCCCAATCAAAGCATTGAATTAAGGTTGCCAAAGTTAACCCTATCACTTTACTAGCAAGATAAGCACCAGGGCAAGATCTCCTCCCAAGTCCAAATGGGATCAAAGTATATCTATAGTCTTCACTCTTTAATCCTTCAAACCTCTCAGGCCTAAACTCCAAAGGGTCCTTCCATAGATTTGGATCCCTATGAACCGCCCACGCGTTAATCAATAAAGTTCTACCCTTCTCAATGTGATATCCGGAGATGGTTAAATCCTCGGATGCTAGGTGTCCGACTAGTAATGGGGCTGCTGGGAAGAGTCGAAATGTCTCGTTGATGATGCATTGGATGTAAGGTAGCTTAGGGATATCAGATTCCTCTACTAATCCATCATTACCTTTACAATTTTCGATCTCTTCTCTTGCCTTTTTGAGTACATTAGGGTGGTTAAGCAACAAGGATAAAGCCCATTCCATTGTAACAGCTGATGTATCTGTTCCTGCTATCAACATTACCTGTAATCATTCAAAAGAATCATACTCGTATTTGGTCAATTTATGCTTCTGTTGTTTTGGTGGGAGTTTTTTAGGAACTTGTTTTGGTTTTCGCATAGAAAATGACTAGTTTTCCTCACTTTCTTATTATTTTTTTTTTATAGGCTAGTGTTCATACTCTGTATTAGGCATGAATGTATAAAGTATACCAAGATAATCTAGGATACATGAACACTTCATCCATCTGTCGTGTTCGTGTCAGACACCGACACTCGTGAGACACACGACGACACGTCTTGGAACGTATCCTACTATGACATGGGTTGTTCAACTTTTTTTTAATGAGAAATTTTAAGTAAAGTAAGATAAATAAGGTAATTATTAAATAATATGGGTGCCTTCATATATAACTCATTGTTTATATGATACAATATGATCTAATGAGAGGACGGAATGACAAATATATGGTCAAATTCTTTTTTTTTTTTTTAAATATATTTTATTAATTTTAACATCCTGTACCGGTGTCCCTTATTTTGAGATAGACGTTTTCTTGTATCCGGGTTAATACCCGTTCTTGTGCAATCTGGAGGATAATAACAAGGAACATAAATCCAAAAGCTATGAGATACAAATTATATAGAACTTCATTCTTAATCACAGGCGAGAAGCTCCTATTTCATTTCTTAACTGGATGCCAACTAATATAGTTGGTTAAAGTTTTACAGGTCAGAACAACACCACCTAGGGATCGAATTACATCATTATATTTTAAAGCTTTCTTTGCACCAAACGTTTCCATTTCTTAAAAATCAGTCAAGTTTAAGTAATTTTTTTTGTAAAATTAATAAAATCATGGAAAGGATGTCAAGAATAAATGAAAGGTATGCTTTAATTTGTGCAATTATAAAGGAATACATACCATTATAAACCCTTTGATAATTTGATCAGAGTAAGTAGTAGGGTCTGACTCCTGCAAATCCAGCAACTTATAAACCATGGCTGTAGTCTCCCCTTCATTTTTGGTCCTCCTACACTCTTCAATTAGACCATCTAGAAAACTATCCATCTTCCTCCTTACGGCCACCATCCTTCCTTCGATGTTTCGAAAACCAATAAACCTCAAAAATGGCAAAGTATCAGCCACAGTCGATAGACCGCTAAGCTCGAAAACCTCCCTCATGATCCCAAGAAATTTCTCAGCTTCTTGACTTGAGCCACCTTCATTTTCATCATCACCGAAAAACAAGTATTTTTTCCCTGTTAATATCCTAGTCAAAATGTTTAAGGACAACCCTGATAACTTTGAGCCTATTTCAACTCTAACAAAGTTTTCTTTGTTACTTGCATACAAGCCTTTAACCAAGGATCGAATTTCTTCTACTCTTATACCCTCAAAGGAGCTTACCCGGCTCCTTGAGAGCAGCTCTACGGTGGTTAGCCTACGTAGGTTCAGCCATAATGGACCATACGAGGCTGATCCAAGGGTAGTCCACTCATAGTGGATGTGCTTCCCTGAAAGAACTTGAGGCCTATTGGCTAAAACAATGTCATTTTCCGTGAAACATTCTTCGATTGCATCAGGTGAAGAGATTACAACGATAGGAAAAGAACCGAGATTTAGAGAGTATATGGAACCATACTGCAAGGAAAGATGTCGTAAGGTGCGATGAATGATAGGGTTTTTGAGTAGATGAAGGTGACCTATTATGGGAAAAGAAGGGGGGCTTGGTGGTAGAATTTTGTGCCTGTTTTTTGTGTTTAGTAGGTTGTATTTTTGAAGGAAGAAGAACATGAAAAGTGGTAAAATGGTAGAGAATACCAAGGCATAGAGCCATATTTAATGCATTTTTCTTGCTCTATAACACCAATTTTGTTGTGCTGCTCTCAATACTAGTGAAGTACTGTAGTTTGTGGTATAGTGTGTTTTTTTTTTTTTTTTTTTTTTTTTTGAAGAATAGTATAGTGTGTTTTGTTACAAGTAGATATAATAACCACACAATTATCTATAATTTTAGTGGGCACAAGAGCAATAATTTCGTTGCACGATGGCTATGCTCATTAAGACGACAACAGATTTAGCAATAATTGAAAATGACAGTAATAAATATAGCAATACTTGGAAATGTGATTCCTCTTAGTTTAAATAAAGCAAAAATCTTGTAGATGCCGGATAGCTCTTTATTAAAGAATTGATTTGTTTCAAAAAAAAATAAAGCAAAAATCAAATGTATGAACGGTATAAGATTATCTGAATTGGGATCCAACTTAATTATGATTAGACCTATATTGCTGTTTGGGGAAGAAATTGTCAACAAGCAATTGACACCTTATACGAATACGCCCTTGGGGTTATTTTAGTGAAATAAGACTCTTTGTTTTTAATTCGCTTACATGTTACTCAGTAATTTATACTCTTATCCTTGGATTCCATTGCTACGACAGGGAAGAACAAGAGCAACAAAGGAAGTGCCTTTTTTAACAAATTTTGTCTGAGTAACTATCTAATAATTTTTCTCTCAACCCTTATTTATTCACTAAGTTTCAAGAGATTGAATCCTGTTCATATATTCACTTCCTTGTAAAAATTGATCAACAATTATATCTGCTGCAATACCGTTTGGTTTTATGTAGTTTTATAACTCAAACCAACTTGTTTCATATTAGAGTATCGTAACAACCAAAATTACCAAATACCAGATCAGTACATAGCTTTTCACAAAAGCTGATAGGGTCGTTTCCTTAAATGTTGAAGTTCAATTAATCAAGGCAGGATAGAAGCTTTTGAAATAAATACCCTGCGTTTTCAGAGTGCTTCCTTGTAATATACAAGTACAAATACTGGCAGATACAATGAAATGCCTAAAACCTCACAGCTAATTTGTAGTGAGGCAAACCCACTAGTTTGCTGATCATTCGATTATATAATGGTGAAGAAGCAGATCAAGGAAAGTAAAGCTGCATTGGCTGGCTAACAATATAAGTTGCATCACAAAAACAACTTCCCAATTGCTGGTTAAATCTAGAGACAAAAACCTTCTATCTTTCCACTATAACAGCTCCTTAGCAAAACGCAATTATCTTGGGTTTTGGCTTCACAAGAGAGGCCAGTACAGTCTTAAGGTCACTAAACATAAGTCCATCTTGTTAACGCTAAACCCAATTCATCCATCACACTTGTGCCAGAGTTCAATCCAAATCAACAAAAATCTACAGCAAGATAAATAATAAACGTTAACCTTGTTAAAACCCCCAAAACTTTCAATAGTATGACATATATGACACAAAAGGCTAAACTCTCCGAAGTCGGAGCACAGCTGAAAGTAAATCATTAAGGGATTTGATTGCAACTTAAACTAAACTTATAATCTAATGGATTGTTAGCAAATTCAACGTGAAGTAGTAACATAAGAAAATTTATGCCACATATTAAATGATTATTGCAGTTACATGACAAGCATGTCCAACTTCTCATTCAACCATTTTTACCTTAATGTGCATTTGATTTTTAATCATGCACAAAACAGTTAATCAGGATTTTGACGGGCGAGTATGTATAAGATAATTGACAACTGTTTCTAATGACATACCTCTAGATCTGGAAGGGGCTCATAGGTCTTCTTCTCAATCGAGTCAAAAACTGTTATCCCTGTGATTTTTTGGACTCCGAGTTTAGTTGCAATCAGGTTCTGCAACAGAAACCACAACAATTAGAAAATTTATTGAGTTGTCTACTTTGGATCACTCTGTAATGCAAGTTGCTCTAATAACCAGACAATTGAGTACATTTTACTATATTTTAAATGACACGTTGGAATCAGGTTTAAAGAGAAACCCACTACAGGAAATCAATTTACAAGTGGAATCAGTAAAGCACCCACAATTTATTCTCAGTGTGCTCTTCATGGGTAGACACGTCAAACAACGTTAGACTATCGAAGTGCAAGGCTCAAATCTTTCTTACTCTTGATACCATATAAATTGCCCCGTGTCTGCAGAAAACAGAAAGTACTACCCAAAAAAGTTGGGTCCTCTGCCTTTTAGGACAAATTATACGCATGTGAAATACTCAAATACATAACATTTCAATAGTTGTATGTTGTTATAAAGAAGGCGCTACTTTAGCCAGTGTAAAGAAACTGTTGAATCTCACTAAAGCCAACACTGTACATCCTTTTAGGGTCAGGGGACTACAAAATTCAAGCACAACAAACCAAATAAGGCAACTAAAAAAGGAAGAGGAATTTAAGCAATCCAATGTACTTGTAAAATCAGAAAAATGGAAATAACACAGGGAAGCTGTTTACCATTTTAAAATCAGTGGAACTAAGAGCCCGAATCTCTGTCAAAGTCTGTATAAATGTATCCAAATGTACAAGTTAATAAAGTGCTTGTAGGCTCCATAAGGAATAAGTATAAAATGTGAGGAAAAAAAACAAAAACTTCAGACAAGATGGTGAGCTTATACGAAGAAAGCTTCAAAAAAACATTTGAAGTTATATTTATATCAATGCAAGTTTAGTAAATCTGGCCATTAATATGTTAATAGTCATAATGAATTAGACTATCAAAGTACAGATTACATAGTACAAATTAACTTCAAAATTACTTTCATTTTAGTATTTCCTTAGCCCTTATGTTATTTGATGACATATGAATAGACTCTTTAGAGAAAAAATAGTCAAACTTAAATCCTGAAAACAAAATGCCAAAAAAAATTAATTTGCTATGAAGACAACACCTATAACCAATAATTTGCCATATAACCAACCACATTGGTTATAGAAAAAACCAAGAAACATTTTGGCATACAAAAAGAGAGATGGCAAAAAACCTGGAGCAAGTGCAAGTACAATACTTCACAATTGCCTAATATATATCAAACTTTAATTATTTTTGCTGATTTGAAATTATCCTTATAGAAATTAAATTATTTTAATTTTTTGTTTTCAGATTCTCTATTTGTTCTAAGTTACAACTTAGTTTAAATTTGTGTATTTACGGAATTTAATTATTTAAGGTGAAGAGAATAAAACCTTACTTATAAGTTATAACAATGTTATAAATTTATTTGTAATATTTAAGAATTTATATAACAATATAATATTAGAAATATGGTTGGAAAAAGAAGAAATTATGGCACATGCGGTTAGTTTGGACCTCTTGGTGAAAATCCAGGGGTATTAGTCACTGGAGATTTCTTTATCCCAATTTAGGAAGACCCGCAGTTTTTATATACCAAATTGGTAATCCGTGTGGCCAAAGGCAGGATATTGCTACTCTGTTTGACCACCTTTTGAACCAATGGAAATGCTATTTACAACCAAGTATCATGTGAAATTCCCTTAACAGAAGATAATAGATAGCATGAACTTTGAAGCAAGATTTACTTTTTGTTCCAAGCAGAACTTACCAGAGTTTGGAGGCCATTAACCATGAATGCCCTCTCCCCATTAGCATCACCTGAAAACCAGATCTCAAATGGCCCCAGGGCCCTCTCAGTTTGGTTTGTGAGACTTAGTTGCACCTGAAAGAGAATCTAGATCAGTAAACATAGATCTTCACATCTTGCACCCCAACACCACCACCCCCAGAACAAGCTTTCCCCTCTTTTTGCTCTTCACTTCTCTGATTTCCAAATAATATTTGTTTTGACTCCCAAGTCCAATGCAGATCAACAACCACCTACCACCTAGTCACCTACCACCTACCACCTAATATGCATTGCACATATGAGATGTGCATTTTATATAAATGGGCCAAATTATAAACCACAAGCAACAGAGAAAAAGATTGAGCATTCTATTCCTGGATCCTAGAGATCCTACTATGGGCATGGTCAGGGTTAGTCTAAATGCATGTGCAGACAATAAATACCCAAACACCTAGACTTGTCCCTTTACCATAAAGGCTAGACAGGTGGCCCATGCCATGCACAAGATTAAAATTAATGTTATAAGGATAATATACTTCCTTGTTGGAAAAAAAAGGTTTGTAGTTTAAAATAACATGTGTGAAAATTTAGTAAATAAATATATAATTGATCAAACATTAAGTTTATGGAAAGATTATTACGAATAGCAATCTTGAATACTCTCCTAACTATTTGAAGGTCCTTTGATGGGAAGGGGGTAGCAGACCTATAAAGGATATGGACTGCTGGTTTCTAAAGTTCGGTTAAACCTTCGGTAAGTCCAACAGACCAAAATTTACATGACCTCCCATTCACACGCAACACAGCAACAAAAAGAACAGTCACCTCAAAGGGTTTGTGCAAGATTATGGCTGATGGAATCTTCACCACCTGCAAGTCGATCTCTTTGCGAGGAACAGGCTGCAGTAAACAAGTCGAATTAGTAGCCAATCATTGGAAAGAGAACAAGAAAACAAATCGACAACAAGCATAGAGAATTGAAAAAAAAGAGTGCCGTCATTTATTAAGGGACTTGAGAGACAATATGAAGCTGAATCACACTGTATTCCTTAAGCAATGTTTATGATATCGCTGATGCACATACATGATAGGGACTTGAGAGATAATATGAAGCTGAAGCTGTTAAAATCTAGTGTTCAATTTTAGTCAACATTTACAGCTTCAAAGAACAGAAGCACAAGAATGTCTTTTGTTTTCTGGCATTTGCATAACTATTTTCAAAGCTTTGTAGAAGAGCAGCGCAAATGCAATTCCTGCTGTGTATGAACACCCCCACCTCTGGAAGGATTGTCTTCCCCCCAAAAAAAATGCTTATTTACTTTTAACAGATGGCTTAATATTTCTTACCAGTTTTTTCTCTTTTTTTAAAAAGAATACAAGAAACACTCATTCATAAATTTGGAAACCTCAAAGGATTTCGTTTTTGCTCGTAGTTCTAAGCTCAATTTCTAAGGTGAAAAGGCATGCAAAAGATAATACCCTAGTTCTGATGTAGATTGTAAATTGTAGTGTATTTCTGCCAAAAGGGAGAAATGAAGTAGCTTGTTCCATGGCAAAAATAACCTGGTTCAACCAACATCAGATAACAGTTTCCAAAACTCCCTTTAATTCAGGCTAAGAGATGTTTTTTACATAAAATTCTAGATAATCAACCTTTCTCGGTCCTTGGTACTTGTTACAAAAGTTAAACAACAGTTAGTATTAAAAGGAGGCAACTAATCATTTTTTATCAAGTATAAAGGTCATTCGACAGCAAATGAGGTATGGGTCATGAGTTATAGACCGGGCGCTTAGAAACGGGTTTCAGAGAGAGGTATAAGGAAGTTCCATGTGGAGTCCACTCTATGAAGAAAAAGGGGTATAGAACAGCCGTTCTATAACCCGTTACAAAGCTAAGGAGCATATACAAACAGTTACCAGAGTAGCATAAGTAAAATATAATAAAGCACTTACACTGCCAAGTATGTGCTGTGTCTGCAAGCGGCCTGGCTCCCCCAAGTTTGTACGCCACGTTATTTGAAGTTTACCAAGAATATTGCTTCCCTCAATTCTCGCTTGAGCAGATTCTTGAACAGACAACTTCAACTGATATAAGAAGT